TTTTTTTTAAGGAATGGAATATGATTTTTTTCCCCCAGAGCTGGAGCATAATTAGAGAGTAATGACTATCATATAGTTGCAGAGCAAATCATCAGAGAATTGTACAGTTGCGAGTTCTAATCTTGAAATCTGGCCTATGCTTTGCTTAAGTCATCTTTTAGATGACCATTTAAGTGCTGAAGAAATACCCTGGAGGAAATATCCCAGATTAAGATACTCCTCAAACTGACTAGGCTATACCGAGACTCGATATTAAATTCAGAGCGGTGCTGAGAGAGAAAGACCTTACGTGACCAGGTGTCCGCTGACCACCAGTTGCAGGCCTGGTTTGGACCTTCTGCTGTAGCTCTGAGTAATCCAAGTTTTAGTTCATCCATTTTCTTTGTTTATTGAATGAGAAATATACTTACTTTGCAATCATATCATTTTATTAAAAATTCATTGTTTTAAACTTGAAAAAATTCTTTCATGAAGTTGGTCATTATTGTAAGTAACAATGATAAATAAAGATAAAGTAGAAATAGACTTTCCTATGGGGAAAAAAAGAGATTTTTATCTTTTAATTCAGCCAAGTTAATATGTTGTATTCTTTATTTATTCCAATACTACTTTTTTTAAGTTGGGATGACCTTTGGAGTATAACTGATATTTTGAGATATGTAAGTAGGCACTCATTTGTAAGTTAACCAAAATGAATGTTTTATTTTGGATTAACTCTGAGAAGCAAGATTTCTCCTTACTGTATCCCAGTGCCTTGTAGAGTTTACGGATATCTCTTACCGTGACCTTTCAAATTTTTATATATGTTCTCATTTTTAAAGATCATAAGCAAATGTTGGATTAATAATCAAATTATGACAGGAATTTTTAAATATCAGGTTTCATGCCTTTTACTAAATTTCTCTGTTCCATAGACATAGCTGCCTATTTTCAAAAAATTCTTTCATGAGTGAAAAAAAGTATTTTTTCTTCTCCCCTCTCCTTGTTTTCCTGATGAAACGGAGATCAAATATACTGAAACTAACTATCCACGTACAGAGTTTGGCAAAAAGAGATTGAGTTGGAATTTGAAGTTTTCGTACCAACACGCTAGAATAGAATGATGAATTTTTAAATTTTTTTAAGTCAATAACTGAAGAAGAATATTTCTCTGCAATATGGTACCATTGAAGTACTTCCTAAATTAAATCTGCAGCTCATGGCTGGGCTTTTAAAATTTGCATTAATTAGAAATAACAGTTTTCACTTATATTTAAACAACATGTTGGCAGCTAATTTGGGGTCTCCCTTAATAATAAGACTGATTATTCTTGAGTAAAAGTGATAAACCGATGATGCATATACATGAAGGCTAGCACTGCTTACAACCACTCACTCGGTCTTAGTCTCCTGCCAATCTCAGCCACCTCATGGGTTTAGAAAAACTGAGGGAAGGAAGAGCCCTTTGACTAGCACATTGCAGTCACAGAGCCAGTGCACTTAGCTCTCTAGGAGAATTTAACCATTCATGAGCCCTTACCTAGACAGTTACTTGAAAAATAACCATCAGAACACTGGTTGCAGAGTCATAAAACAATCTGAATCCACTTAAGGTAAAGGCAGATAGCCTCGCATTTATCAATAGCCCTTAAGGGTACCATCGTATTACAGGACGGATGGTGCATGGTGCAGTAATTGACATTGATAATGATCCTGAATCATCCAGAAAGAGTGAAGTTCTATTTGTTATGCTGGGCTTTTCTTTTGAAGTGGAACTGTTTAATATTGTGTGATATACATCTATCCATCGAGAATTTTTAAAATCTTGAAGATGTGCGATGCTTATAAAACTTGTTATAAGAAAAATGTGGTTTGTGAAGTACCTCATTCCTTGATAATGCTGGATAAATAATTCATATTCTTTTAAGAGAAACCATAATATGCTGGCTAAATGAAGCACTGCAGTACTTGGATGTTTGTGGAAGTATAGTGTGTTTTTAAAATTTCCATGTAATACCAATGTAACTTAATTCACTTAAATGTTTTGCCAGTAAGAAGTATGTGTAGTTTTCAAACCGGCACAAAGTACTTTTGTAATTAATATCACAACAGACTCTCTGAGTATGGGAAAACAGTACGAAAAGGAACCAAACTTTGAGATACTTAACTTTAAGTTACTTACACTGTACCTCAGAGGTCATTTCCATGATACGAAGGGGCAGAAGTGAGATTTAAGCACAAGGACTCGTGGTTCTAGGGTTCGGGTGTCTTTACTGTGGTGAACATGAGGTTCACCACTCATCAGGTGGACTCAAAAAGGAGCCAGGAGTGGCCTCTCCACACCAGCCTTATTCTTCCCAGCTCCATTTGCAGGCTTACTAAGAGCAGAGGACATAGATTTTAGCACGCTTCATCTGAGATTATTGACAATGACACACCCATTGAATGCTTACTTTGGGCAAAGTATTCACCAGTTACTGATTCACCAATTATTGATACTTTCTTGGCACTATACTTGGAACTGGGGAAACAGAAATAAACACGGCAGAATTTTCCACTCCCAGAGAACTTACAGTCTAGTAGCAAGGGACAGAAAAATAATCAGATTCATAAGTAGTGAGCATGGTGACACAGGTTTTTAACAATGCGCCGTGTAAGCTAAGGCTTTGCCTAGGAGCCAGGATTTGAGCTGAGTTCCAAAGGCTAAATGCAAATAATTGACAAGGAAAGAAGAGTATTCCAGGCTGAGGAAACAGCGTTTTGGAAAGACACGCTTCATAAGGTGACTGATGCTTCCAGAGAATATGGAACAAGTTCAGTGGGGCAGGAATCAAAAAGCATGTAGGCAAAAATGGCAAGAGAGAAGGCTGGGAAGGTAGGTTGAGACAAGACTATTAGTGGGTTTGTTTGTCAGGCCTAACTTAAAGTTGCTGGCTGCTAACGTATCAGAGATTAGTTTATTGAAATATTTGTCTTGGCTCAAAAGCTACACCAAGTTGGATAAATACAATGAAGTATTGGTAAATTACTTGACTTCCGCAGGTGACTCTTTTTCTTCCTGCCATCACTTAGGGTAATAGGTGAGGGGCTACCATTCAGTAGAGGGCCAATGCAGCACTCACCTCGCTATCAGCTGGCATTGCAGAAGGTTCTAGAGTAGTGATTAGCCTTACGGAGATCCAGGAGAAGAAGCCAGTGCTAAGAGGTGCTTGTATCCTGCTGACAGCCTCTGGGTAAGGCAGAAAGGAGCCAAGAACTAACTGCAGCGGTGAGCCCAAAGCGGGGGAGCCCAAAACCGTTCGTATATCGTCCTCATTCCCCCAAATTTATATTTTTAAAAACTTAAACTGGATAACTAGTATAGCAGCAGTATGTTCATGCACATTCCTTACTTAGTCTAAGCCATCTTTAAGCAGGTAATAGACAGCAGAGTCAGTAAATTTAAAAATAATGACATAAGAAATGCAAGAGGAAACTTATACAGCCACTGAACCTACAGTTTAAGGCAAGGACTTGGTTTTTAAAAATGTTTAAATATATTTGTACTTTAATCATAGCCATAACAAAAAGGAGAGCTCTGCAGGATAGTTTTTTTATTCTTCCCCCACTCTCATTCCGTATTTCTTTACCTTAACTCCAATTGCAGTCACAGTTGATTCCTAAACAATGTGAGGGTTAGGGGCGCCTATAGCCCCTGCAGTTGAAACTTTACATGTAACTTAAGTCTGCCCTCAGCATATGCAGGTCCCCAACTGAGATCAAAAATAGTATTCGTTTGTAGATCTGTGTCCTTCATTAGACAATGAATATCTTTTCTACTCATCTTTGTTGCTATGCCAATGCCTAACACAGTATCTTGCACATAGTAAACACCTAACAAATAATTGTGAATGGATAAAATATGCGTGAATGATTGAAGGACCAGAATCAAGTATCTCTCATGCTTATTCTCTTGGTATTACTGGTGATGTTTCTAGTCAAATGGAATACCAAATCATTTATTTAATAAACAGTAAGAGATCATTTGGAATAAATGAGTGTGCCTGTACAGAATAGTTATATTTTTTTTGTAGATCTGAGTTTGGACTACTAGATTCTTCAAGAACAATTTTAGTCATTTGAATAGTTTTTGCTTCTTTTGAATA